AAGAAGAAGAAGAAGAAGATAGCAGGAGGGGAAGAATGAAGGGGGGAAATTGGAGGGGGAGACGAACCATGAGAGACTATAGACTCTCAAAAACAAACTGAGGGTTCTAGAGAGGAGGGGGGTGGGAGGATGGGTATTAAAGAGGTGATGGGTATTAAAGAGGGCATGTTCTCCATGGAGCACTGGGCGTTATACGCAAACAATGAATCATGGAACACCGCATCAAAAACTAATGATGTAATGTATGGTGATTAACATAACATAATAAAAAAAATTTTTTTTTAAAAATTGGGACCTAGGGCTCATATCTCAATAAACTGTAAACTGATGCTCCCTGAGATCCCTTTTTGTACTAACTTTATCATCCCTGGCACCTTCCAGAGGATGCCAGGAATCCATCAATGGGTGATGTCACTGTGACAAACAAGAAAAAGAAAACAGGATTGCTTTTGAATGCCTATTAGTGTGAAAATATTATGAGCCACTTTATCAGCCAGCCCATGCAGCAGGGAAACCTGTTCCAGCCAATTAAGGGGGCGAGGTTGAGACCATGAATTTGAGGGGAAAGAAAGTTCAAGTAACTTGGTCCATCACCAAAGTAAGCACTTCCTGGGGCTCCTGGGTGGCTCAGTCGGTTAAGCGTCTGCCTTCGTCTGCCTTCAGCTCAGGTCATGATCCTGGAGTCCCAGGATCGAGTCCCGCATCGGGCTCCCTGCTGAGCAGGGAGTCTGCTTCTCCCTCTGACCCTTCCCCCTCCCTCTCTCTCTCTCAAATAAATAAATAAATAAATAAATAAAATCTTCTAAAAAACCCAAAACAACAAAGTAAGCATTTCCTGTCTTCCCAGCCAGAAAGCCCCCGGGGGCAGATCTTGTTCTTCTCTGTACAGGCACCAAGGAAACATCGTGGGCTCAGTTCCAGACCACCACAATAAAGCAAACATCGCAATAAGGCAGGTCAAGTGAACTCGTTGATTCCCTAGTGCAGATAAAAGTTATGTTTACACTGTACTGTAGTCTATTAAGTCTGCAAGAGCATACATCTAAAAAAGCAATGTGACATACCTTAATTAAAAAATACTTTATTGCCAAAAAAATGCTAACCATTATCTGGGCTTCCAGTGAGTCATAGCCATTGATCACAGATCACCATAACAAATATAATAATCATCAAAAATTTTGGAATATTGTGAGAATGACCAAAATGTGACGCAGAGACGCAAAGTGAGCAAATGCTATTGGAAAAAAATGGCATTCATAGACTTGCTTAATGCCCACAGACCTTCAATTTGTAAAAAACACAGTATTTACAAAGTGCGATCAAGGGAGGTTGCCTGCCTCTCCCACAGAGCCTGGCACAACCCCCGGCTATGGATGAAAGTGCCCTAGAAAAGGCTGTGGCTTTATAGGAGACAGGACATTTTCTGGGCCCTGGAGGAGAGGACATGGGTGGACAGAGAGAAGGGATGATACGGGCCTGAACTTGAACCGTGACCTGAGCTTCCTCCATGGGGCTGGAATCACCACACTAAGTGTAGGTCCTGGATTTTGGAATTTTGGTTTTTAACAAACAGCAACCTCCAAACCCAGAGGAGGTTTTATCGTAGACTGCCGCCCCACCCCCACCCCAGGACGGGTCCCAGCTCCAATCTGAGCTCTGCTCTTTTGTAGCTGGGGGATCTTGGGCCAGTCACCCTTTGTCTCTGAGCCTCAGGGATCTGGAGAATTGGGGATGGGTGCAGATGCCAGAGGTTTTTATTGTCATGCCTCATTGCAATTATTTTGCCCAGCTGCTTCAGAAGGCAGGCCTATGGCACACGAAAGGGCCTTAGGATGCTCAGGCCCCTGCATCAGACTCCCACGCGAGGTGTCTTACACGGAGATTCTGGGGCTCTGTCTCAGACCTCCTAGATCAGAGTCTCCATCTCGATCTACCGGCTAACACGTTCCTACTCATCTGAGTGCATCCAACAAATTCCATCTGTGCATGATAGCTCTAAAGGGATTCCAGCCCATTCCATCGGAGGGTCCCCTCCCCAGGCCCCATGGCCGTGGCCGCCAAGGACTTTCATTCAAATCGCTTATCAGCACGTTAACCTAATACCATGCTCTGGTCTGTAACCGCACAGAACCCCTGCTGGACCAACAGGTTTAGGTGGGGACATCTCTACACCCCTCATTCATCAGGAAGAAGGTACTGAGGCGAGACCTGTGTCCAAATGCCAAAGATTTGTCATTGTTGATCTGAAGGGCGGGGGGGGGAGCGGTGGTTAGGATGTAGAGACCTCTTTTAGACAGACTTGAGCAATGGAATGTAGAAAGGGGCCACAGTGACCCCCTGGCTGAATCCAGACAGGCCCATCAGACGACACAGGTCAGAATATCCATAGGCCCTAACAGATCAATGGGCTACTTACAACCAGGCACAGTCACCAAAAAAGGGAAAATTCCATATGTCCCCATACCTCCTCATCTCTCCACTTTATTTTGTTTTTTTAAGATTTTATTTATTCATTTGTGAGAAAGAGAGAGAGAGTGAGTGAGAGGGAGAGACAATCTGAAGCACACCCCACACTGAGCACAGAGCCTGACTCAGGGGCTCAATCCCACCGCCGCGAGATCATGACCTGAGCCAAAAACCAAGAGCTGGATGTTTAACGGACTGAGCCAGCCAGGCGTCCCCCACCCTTTCCACTTTAAATACAGTCCCCACCCACTGCCTCCTTGCAGATAGCCTCTCCTCTGTCCTGTCACTTCCTTGAGTCTCCAAGGAAGGGCAGCTCTTGGAAGCCACATTTTCACAAAGCTCCGTGCATGGCTTCAGCGCC